AAGCTCCTTTGATCCTGTGCCTGTAAGAAGCACGAGGTCTGTGACTTTGTGGTCCAGGCCGGTGCAAGGTCTGTTGCAACACTCTGACCTGTGATTCGAAGCTCAGCACGGGACGCCAGCCAAACGTGCCAGCGCTGGATCCAAGCTGGGATGACCAGTCGAGACACCAGCTGCTCCAAAATGGCACCCATGAATGGAATCCAAATCCTTGGCTCTCTCGAGCAACCCAGCCCACGAGCAAGAATGGGAGCAATTAGGCGTCAGCAAGGCGTCTGTGTGGGACTCCACACGTGAATGATCCTGAACCACTCCTTGGACGCCTGGCCATCCGCAGCAATCTGCGACAACGTGGTCAGCACCGCGCACGCCAGGGACAAGCGAAAGACATACCTTCACAACATGTCATTGCGCTCTCGGGGTTCTGATGCGATAGCAAGGAACAGGAAACGCTTAAAGAAAATGCACGTAGTCACGTGACATCGTTTCTTCAAGCACGGCACATGCCAATCAGGGAAGCCCACAGCTGCCGCAGGCTGCGACGGCGAATCCATGCCAGGAAAAAGGGCGACACATAGTGGTACGTCAGCAGCGTCGATATGAACCTTAGGAGCCCCGGCATGCACCAACATTGTTTCACACTGGAAGAGACGGGTTCATCTTATGATCTCGCTCTCTACACCGGCATATACCGGCATCGAGGCACCAAAGGGGTCGATTGCTCGTCCACCAAATCAGCATCGGATTCCACCCGCCCAGCGTCAAGCAGTCAAGAGCGAGTTGCGCGGCGCACGTCGTTGTCCTGCAAGTCATCGCTGCCGACAGGCCTGTGACAGCGAGTGCCGCGATGTACGGGGGAATCAACCTCGCCACCTTCTTCCTCATGTGCTCCGACCAAGAGACGTCCTTCCAAGTGGCAGAAGAAAGGTAACCGGAGATCAAAGACATGCCCATCATCATTTCGACGCCGTGGTCAACCGTCTCGTACGGCAGATGCTCTGAAAGCTGAATGGAACGGCTGGAAGCCTTCAGGAAAATCTGGTGGAAGCCGACGAGGATGAAGATGTACAAGGCCTGAGCCACGGACCCCGGCAGTCTTTCCAATCCGCCAGTCTGAAAAAATCCTGCAAGCAAAAGAACACGTCCCCGCCTTGGTCCGGTCGAAGGAAACAATCGCCTGACATCGCGGCAATTTGAGGGCTCAGAGCCTGCTTCAGACTGCTTCAAGCCTGCTTCAAACATTGCATGCGCTTTCGAGGCTTGCTCGGCCTTGGACTTGGAGTCGGTCCGCAGGGACGCCAAGTTCGGCATGCTGGGAGGCGTCGCCATGTCAAACCCTTTGGGGTTACCGTGGGATCCGTGCCAGGGGGGGGGGG